ATCTATCTATCTATCTATCTATCTATCTATCTATCTATCTATCTATCAATCTATCTATCTATCTATCTTTTAAAAATGTTTAGTTATTATGTATACAATATTCTGTCTGCATGTATGCCTGCAGGCTAGAAGAGGGCACCAGACCTCATTACAGATGGTTGTGAGCCACCATGTGGTTGCTGGGAATTTAACTCAGGACCTTTGGAAGAGCAGGCAATACTCTTAACCTCTAAGCCATCTCTCCAGCCCTTCTATCTATCTATTTATCTATCCATCCATCCCTAGCTTGCCTGGATCTCATTATATATACCAGGCTAGCCTTGAACTCACAGAGATCCACTTGTTTCTGCCTCCTGAGCACTGGGATGAAAGGCATCACCACGCCAGGCCAAGTTTTTAATACCTCAGCAGAATCTTTTCTGATAACAGACTAGTAGAAGGGTGTGAGGACCAGGTTTATAGAATATAACATGCAAGAACTGAATGGAACGCTGGGACGAAAGCCAGGAAGAGGATGCTGGGAAGGCTGATGAGAAAGAAGTGGCCTAGAAAGGAAGATGGAGCAGAAATACAAGTGAGGCAGGGGTCTCACTGCTGGAGAGGAAGAATGGCTTTGGTGAGCACAGGAAGGCGAGGCCATGGGGCATCCTCCAGAAATGCATGACAACTGGCCAAGCTGACAGACTTAGAGCCGTTTGCTCACAGGCTGGCCCTTGGGAGTATTAGGGAACTTAGACTTGGGGTGGGTTCCCACCACCCTAATTGGTAAGAAAAGTTCACTGCTCTACTGTTGTGGCTTATTTCAAGCACCAGAATCACGGTATGTGAGAGGCAGAGGTGCCCGCAGGAGAAAGCCTGTCGTCCTCATGCATGATCACAGCTCACTGCTGGGGGAACTGAGCACATTCAGTCTGACTCCACAGACCGTAGAGCTGGAAGCTCATGCCTGGGTCCTTCCAGTGCTTCTCAACCTGGGTGTCACAACCTCTTGGCAGGGGGTACTGAATGATCCTTTCACAGGGTCGCCTATGACCATTGGAAATATCAGATATTTACATTATGACTGATAACAGTAGCCAATTACAGTTAAGAAGAGGCAATGAAAATAACTTTATGGCTGGGGATCACTACAACATGAGGCGTTGAGGGGTCACAGCATTAGGGAGATTGAGAACCACTGCTCTAGACTTTGCCTCCTGAAGCCTTTTCCCTTCACGGGTTTTGCTCTGTATCTTTGGCTATAATCAGTCAGAGCTGTGAGTAAGATAATGCCAAGTCCTGGGAACCTCCTAAGAAAGAGATGCTTCCAAGGGCCCTGAAATATCATGTTTTCCAGAAGTATATCTCCAGTGGCCTCCTGGAAGCTCCCCAGTGGGGACACCCACTTGGTGGGGTTCTTACCTGGATGGCAGGCCCGGGTGCCTCCCCTCTCTGCTACCCAGAGCTCAGCACCTTGCTCCAGCTGGGAGATAACCGCAGGCTTGGGAAGATCAGGACCTGGAAAGAGGAAAAGACCCAGGAGGTCAGAGGCTGCTCTGGGCAAACAAGCCCAGACTACAGCTGAGGTCTTGCCCATCAGGACGTGTGGGCATCATTCAAGCACATGAGGGTTGTGCCTGGTGACAGAGAGGGCAGCTTCCTCTCAACAAGTGTATCCGTCAGCAAACGAGAACTCAAGGTTAAGTCAGAGTCCCATACCAGAGGCCCACAAACGTAACTCAGTCTAAGAACTGGGCCTTACCCACAGAGAGAAGGTGGCCAAAGGTCTCCAGCATCACATCACGATACAGGGTCCTCTGGTTAGGGTCCAGTTGCCCCCACTCCTCTTGGGTGAAGTCCACAGCCACATCTCGGAAAGTCACTGGCTCCTGAAACATCACATGTATTCTTGATTAGTCGGACCATCTACCTCTGTGGAAGAGGAAGGATGGGAGAAAACAGGCAGGCAGGGGTCCTGAGAAAACGTACACTCTGTGTGATGTCCCTCAGGCCTCACTGATAGCCTATAGGCCATTACAGGTAGGTATGGCTTACCTTGGCAACACATGAGAGCTCTCGGCAGGATCAACAGAGACAGCCACAGGCTGACCAGACAGACCTGGCTAGAACAATGACATGTAGGTTTATGACCTAAAGAAATGGTTACTAGGTTTTTTGTTTCTTGAGTATGTTTGTGAGTGTTCGAGTGTATGCACATGTGTCTGTGGAGGTCAGAGGATAATGGTGGATGGTCAGGTCTTTTCCTCCACATTGTCTTTTACTGATGACCAGGCTGCGTCAGCATTACCTGTTATCTGATCATCAGTTTCCACCTCCACCCCACTTTTTTTTTTTTTTCCCCTGAGACAGGGTTTCTCTGTGTTGTTCTAGCTGTCCTGCAACTCACTCTGTAGACCAGGCTGGCCTTGAACTCACAAAGATCTGCCTGCCTCTGCCTCCCAAGTGCATGGATTAAAGGTGTGTGCCACCACCGCCAGGCTCACCCCACTTTTTTTTTAACCTACTATTTTATTTTAGCTCAGTTCTCAGTCACACAAGTGAGAGTATGCCCGAATACGTGCATGCCTGGAGGCCCAATGTTGATGTGAGAATCATCATTTTCTCTACCACCTTATTCACTGAGCGGGTCTCTCAATCAAATGCAGAGTTTACTGATATTGTTAGTCTCAACAGCCATCTTACTTTGGCGATCCCCTGTCAGTCTTTGAGACTGGAATTATAGGTGGGCCACGCGTCCATGCAGCGTTTATATGGCGTCTGGGGATCTGAGCTATCGTCCTCACACCTACGCAGCAAGCGCTCTGACCACCAAACCACCTCCCCAGGGCCCCTTAACATAAAAAAAAAAAATCTTTGTTTCTCCTGAGACAGGATTTTGAGTATCCTAGTTTGCCTCAGGCTATATAGCCAAAGATGACCCCAAACTCTAATTCTTCAGTTTTACCTGCCAAGCACTGGAACTGCAGGTGTGTACAACCACACCCAGTTTTTTTTTTTGTTTGTTTGTTTTCTTCTTTTTTTTTTTTTAAAGAGGCACCAGGGCTTCACAAGCTAGGCAAGCACTCTTCCCTCCAACTACAGCCCCAGCCCTGAACACTTGAATGACTCCTTGTCACCTTCCAATAGTGGATGGCTGCTCCCCCAAGGACATCCAGGTCTTCTGAAACTGATGAGTATCAGGACAGTAACAGGTACTTTGCAGATGTGATAAAGACCCCAAGACAGTGGCTGTCCTGTGCCATCCACGAGGGCCCTAAATGTACTCACACGTTTAGGAGATTGGTGTGAGATTGGAGAAGTCAGAAGGCAACGTGATCACTTAAGCAAGGTGCTACATTGCTGTTTTGAAGCTAGGCAAAAGGCCGTAAGGCAAGGATTGCCAGGGCATTAGCTCAAATAGCTGGAAAAGCTAATCAACTGATATCCGCACCTAGAAACTTGGGAGAAGTGTGGTTCTGCTCAGTGGTGCTCATTTCTGACTTCTATCTCTAGACTGTGCCTTTTTATTTTTTTATTTTTTTTGAGACAGGGTCCAGCTTGGCTTTAGTTTATCATCTTCCTGCCTCAGCCTCTGATGTGGTGCTGGGATTATAAGCATGTGCTACCGTGTTTGGCTTAGAATATACGTTGTCTTTAGCCAAAGTGTGTAAGGACTTGTAACAGCCACAAGAAACTAACGTCCTGGACCTCAAAGGCCTCCACTTTTGGTCCTTGTTCCTGTGGAGGCTAGCCTCTAACATGGCCCCTCAGTGATATCCCGACTTGCATGCAGCCATGTTGACTTGTAGAACGGATAGGATACTGTGGAAATGACAGTGTGAGGTTCAAGCTGAGGTTCTAACACAGCCTCTACCTTGCCAGCTCCCGGGTCACCGCTCCACAGGAAAGCACACACTGCGCTGTGTGACCTCAGTGCTTACACAGCGAGGCCTACATGGAGAAACAGAGTCCCCCTGCCAACAGCCATGCGAATGAGTCATCTTGAAGGTGGGTCTTCTAGGCCCTGTCAAGTCTCAAGGAGTATTGTGAGGCTGTCATTGTGACTGTAACTTTAAGAGTCTAGGGCAGATCCATGAGTTCCTACCTATCAGAAACGGTGAAGTAGTATTTATTTCAGGTCACTACATTTTGTGCGTGTTATTTGTTACACGACAAGAGATGAAATACACTTCTAATGTCTTTCATATTGCTTATTCCCTGACAAACTGACAGCCTAATGACTGCTACCTGAGGCTTGACTGGGGCTGGAGAATCCACCATATGAATGGAGAATCCAGCCATATGAATGAGCCATTCTCATGTTGAGAGGTCTCAGTTCTCAGTTCTACACAATGGTCACATTTCATGGAAAACTAAAATAACACAAATCTGATAATTTGCTATCTAAGGCTATTAATAAACCCATTTTGCACACCAAGTGTAAAATAATGCAAACCTCCCCTAAGCAAACCATATAATCCTGCCACACAAGAACATAATTTCGAAGTTGCAGAATTTACATATGAATTGATTTTGGCTTTTGCTAAGTGGACTGTGGAGAACAGAATAAACAGCCAGTTTGTCTACAAAGTGCTTGAACTTTGATGACCAGAAGTTAGGCAAACTAGCAAACACTGACAGCCCTGCCTGCCAACGACAGTTCTCCCATGGCCCCACCAAGGTCCCTTGGTAGTTACTCCTGTTTTACTAACTTGGTGCCTGTGCCCCACGATGTGCCTTACTTACAAAATAAGGGCTTCGCGGTGTGGAGATTTCCGTCTGTTGATTCTACGCTTTAGGACAGTACCCGCAATGTGGGTGCTTTGTAACGCTAGCCAGTCACCTGTCATCACCGAGAAACATCTCTATGGATGTATGGGAAGGTGTTGGCTTGAGAGGGAGTAAACCCCCGAGTGGGGTCTCTCCTGTGACCACCCTCCTCTTCCCACCCCGTAGCAGGGAGACAGGAGGTTGGAGCATGGGTACTGGACACGGGGATGGGAGTGGGGCTGGGGGCTGGGTTCAGACCTGGGTTCCGCGGTTGAGCTACCGCGTTCGCTTCCCCCTGTGGAAAAAGGGCCGCAGGTTACAGGCCAGTCTTTGGGGAAAGCGGGGCCGAATCCACTCCGTTATTGTTACCTTAAGTTGTGTTGCTTGCGGCCGCGAGATCATCGCCATTGTTGCCGCTTGATCCTGCGGGTCTATCCCGAGCGAACAGGTCAACAACAGACGTCCAAGGCGATTCCTAATCTAAAGTGCACGCCCGTCGTAGAGACCACCCGACCAGTCTCCCGCTGGACAATGGCGGCAGTACCAGGGAACGCGACACTACAATTCCCAGAAGGCCACGCGCTGAGACGCAGCACTGGTCCAATAAGAGCTACTGCCAGTCCAACGTTGACCAATGGGAAGTCCTGTCCTCTGACTAAGGAGCAGGTCCCGGTAACTACGGAGACCAGCTTCCATCCCTTATCCATGGGGTGGGCATCCCTCCGCCCAGGTTATCCTGAAAATTGTCCTTCTACCCTGATGACTGAGTTTAGAGCACATATGCATTCCGTTCTGAGCAGCGAGGGGAACGCTGTCAGAGTTGGTCAATCTGACCTGCTGCAGGAATTAAATGTACGAGAGACCCTGGGATTTCTTCTTTATACTCTGTGTACTCCGGTTACACTGACACTTACCTGAAACAAAATTACATGAACATTTAAAAGTTTTCTTAATGTAATAGACTTCGAAGGACTAATGACTTGAAAGGTGAAAACGAGACTTCCCAGATTTCGTTTCTTCAGGTAAGATGAATATCAATTGAAGATGTAATTGTTACAGCTTGGCTGGAAAGATATCCTGGCAGTCAGGAGCCAAGGAATACCAGAGAGTCACGCCACACAACAAACGTCACACAGATTTATTGGGAGGGAAAACACCCAGGAGAATGGCTGCCTCTGCTCAGGTAGGAAGCAGCAGAGAACTGAGCAGACGCCAGGGTTTATATAGTTGTTTCTTGATTGGTGGCCTGACGGTGGAACTTTTCAGGGTGATGCTTTCCAGGGTGGGGATTGCTGGCCCTTCAAGTCCAGAGCTGGGACTTTTACTCTGCTGGGCAGAGAACTGGGTCCAGCAGTTAGGACGGTTAGAGTGTTCTGTGGGTGGAACCTGGCAGTTGGAGGTTCTCAGGAGAGGAGCCTGGCCGCTCGTGTGCCTTGTGTCTTGAGGGACTTACGAAAGGTACGTCTGTAATCCCAGAGATGGAGGCAATAAAATCCAGTTCTTGTTTTGTTACACAGCATGTTGAAGGTTACATTTTTGGGGTGGGGGCTTGGGAGATAAAGGACGAAAGAAAGAAAACACACACATACACACACACACTTTTTTTTTCAAGCTAAGAACTAGGCACAAGTAGAAAGTAAAAGGGTCAAGTGTGGTGGTGCACACCTTTATTTAAGAGGTAGGCAGAATTCTTGTGAGTTTGAGGCTAGCCTGGTCTACATAGTGAGTTCCAGGCAACTAGGACTACATAGAGAGGCTCTATCTCAAGAAAACCAACCAAACAAAATGAAAAGAAAAAAGAAAAGAAAATGGGTACCTGTCAGTCCTCACCAGCTGATGTTGTAGTGGGAAAAGACAGAAAATAAACTACACCCTTAAAGAGACAGAGAACACCAGGTATGGAACAGCAGGCTCTGCCCTTCCTCCACTCCCCCATCCTCAGGACTGAATATTGAACCTAGGTCTTCGTGCATGAGAGGCAAGTGATCTATTGTGGAGCTTCAGTCTAAGCAAACAGCATGTCCTGAATGATATCCTTTAAATCCCATCCTCCCTTCTCTCTCTGTCCCCAGCCCAGCTCTTTCCTTTGTTCTCTGCAGTCTCCACATAAGTAAGTCTGACAATGACAATAGTATTACAACTGGTGCTCAGGGTCTGGACTGGGCATTTCTTGGTTCTTGACCCCTTTGAAATAAGAGTCACAGAAACCAAAGAAGTAAGATACTTTTATTTGGAGCAAGGTGATATTATAGGCTGTGTAGGATACACTATTCAAGATTGACAGTGGGTCATATGAGTGAAGAGTCTCAGCATCCACATTATTGTTCAAAGTTTCCTTTTATGGGGCTCAAGAGAAGGGGGTGCTGGTTACTAGGGATGTATTTTGGGTGATTAATCTTTTCATTTCTCTACTGTGAATGTCTCTTCTATGATGTATCTGATTTTAATCATATGTGTGCCCAATTATGCATAGACATAAGATGGTAAATAGGAGGTTCTCCCTAAAAGTTTACAGTTTTGCCTCCTTGTGCATGCATCCAAAGCTAGTTCAGGCCAGACTGACTCTTCTATCCTTCATACACAGGTATGTTGAGAATATTCTTGAACTTTGAACAATACCAAGGGCAGGGAAACTTATACCATTGTTCAGAGATGGAAGTGTGTGTAGCCTGATGTAGACAGAGTTTGAGATTGTTAGGTGCATTGTTCAGAGGTGTGTGTGTGTGTGTGTGTGTGTGTGTGTGTGTGTGTATTGTATGTGCAACTGAAAGACCTAGGCTGCTAAGTGCATTATTACAAGAGGAGTGTGTGTGCAAATCCCAAATCAAATGGGGGCCTCAGGGCACTAAACTGTCTCCCATGCTTGCCTGCCTCAGTGTCAGACAACGTGCTAGTTTGAATGAGAAATTTCCCCATGGTTTCAGGCATCTGAACATTTGGTCTTCCAGTTGGTGGTGCTCTTTGGGGTGCAGCCTTGCTGGGGGAAGTATGAGACTAAGGGCTGTGGGGTTCTGTGCAACCATCACAGCCAGCATAGTTTCTGAGGGTAGCAAAAAGATTGTTCGGTTCAACATGACTAAATAACCAGTGTTGGTTCAAACCTCAGAAGTCTACCCCCACATAACTGATTTTAGGCATATTTGAACACAGCTCGATTTGGTGATACTTTCCTGGTAATACTCCTGATCAGGCAGCTTGAGCTTGATGGAGCTCCTGAAGAGAGTAGAGCTGCTATAGTGTCGAAAAATATGCTGATTTTTCTAATTGGGTAATAGCCCCTCAAGGTTTTGGCAGTGCCTTTCATACTGTAGCAGCCATTCAAATAATTTTTCAAAAAGGACCTTTTTTGAAAGAAGAAATAAAGGATATTGGAAAAAATGTATGCAAAAAATCTAGTAATCCTGTTCCTCACCTTTGCCCATGATGTAAAAAAGGAAAACATTGGGTTAAGGAATATTGATCCAAACTTGACAAGGATAGTAAGCCTTTAAGCTCACCAAGGGGGCAAAACCCAGCCTTAGACTCAAGGAAGGTGGGAGACTGACTCAGACAACAAAAAAAATGAACCAGGCTCAAAATCAGTATCTAGGCATTCAGGGGAGAAACAGGATCTAATGAAATGGGATTAAACTTACTAGCTTTACAGACAAGACCATTCTCAGGTGATGGGCATCCTAAGTCAAGTATACACACTGAAGAATAGTCCTTAGAGCAGTGGTTCTCCATCTGTGGGTCAAATATCAGATATTTACATTATGATTCATTTTAGTAGCAATGTTATGAAATAGAAATGAATTAATTTTATAGTTGGGAGTCACTACAACATGAGGAACTGTATTAAAAGGGTTGCGGCATTAGGAAGGTTGAGAACCACTGCTTTAGAGTCATTCTAGACATTGGGGCCAGTCATTTATTTGTCAAGAACAATGGCTCCACACTGGTCAGTGTCTAATGGCCTACCTTTACAAGGTATTGAAAGCCAACCAGATTCTTTAAAAAGTACTGATGTCTTAATTTGGACTCACAAAGATTTTTCTGGCACTGTGCAGCCTTACATTGCTTCAGAAATTTTATAAAATTTGTGGGGAAGAAATATATTACAACAAAGGCAAGCCGTAATTACCACTGATACTAATGAATATCCTGATAATTGTAATACAAAAAAGTATAACCCTCTAACTGGGGTCATTGACCAAGGGCCATCCAAACAGCCTTATAACTTATGACCTAGTATGGATTGATCAGTGACTCTGTCATGACAAAAAATTAAAACAGGCCCAACTTCAAGTAAAGGAATAATTGCAACTAGGACATAAAGACCCTTCAGTTAGTCCTTGGAACTTGACTATTTTTATAATTCATAAAAGGGCAAAGAGTAACTTTTTTTTTCAAGACAGGGTTTCTCCGTGGAACCCTGTATGTCCTGGAACTCACTCTGTAGACTAGGTTGGCCTTGAACTCAGAGATCAGCTTGCCTCTGCCTCCTGGAGTGCTGGAATTAAAGGCATACGCCACCACTGTATGGTTCAAAGAATAAATTTTGAATGTTACATGATCTCAGGGGCATTAATATGACTATGAAAACAATGGTGACCCTTCAGCCAGGGCTGCTTGTTCCTACTATGATTCCTCAAGAACATTATGTTACTATGATTGACTTAAAAGACTGCTTTTCCTCTATTCCTTTACATCCTGATGATAAGGAATATTTTGTATTCTCTGTTCCCACTTTAAACAATCAACAGCCATTGACCTAGTATCAGCGGAAAGTTTTATCATAAGGGATGAAAATTAGTCCCACAATATGTTAATCTTATGTACACAAAGCACTTAAGATGGTGCTGATTCAATTTCTTGAATTATTGGTCACTCATTATATGGATGACATTCTCTTCTCTCACTCATTTAATCAATACTTAAATAAGTGCTTGATTTTCATGGTATTAAGTAGTAAAATTTAAGCATAGCTCCAGATAAAATACAAAAATAATCACCTTATAATTATTCAAACAACAACAAATTTGCCCTCATCCTCTCATCTTAAAACTTCCCAGACGCCAGGCAATTGTTTTTTATTTGATTTTTTATTATTTATTTCTTAAAAATTTCAACCTCCTCCCCTCCTCCCAAAACCCTCCCACTTCCCCCATTCCCTCTAACGCCAGGCAATTGTGACACACATTTTTAATCCCAACACTCAGAAGGCAGAGACAGCAGATCTCTGTGATTTTGAGGTCAGTCTGGTCTACAGAGCGAGTTCCAAGACAGGTTCCAAAGCTACACAGAGAAACCCTGTCTCAAAAAACAAACAACACATCAAAAAGCAACAAAAACTTTGTAAACAATGTGATCTCGACTACTTAGAAGAAACTTTGGGCCATGTTGATTGGGGACATTCTTCTTTGCCCTAATACTGCTAGGGATTTGATTCTGTTCTCTAACTTGCTTTCCGGAGACTCTTGGTTAAACTCTATAAAAATATAACACTCGAAGCAGAGTAAGTAATTAGTTTATTAAATAATGCTTCTGCTAAAGTTGTAGC